TAGTATGGCTAACAACAAACTCTGTGGTCTTACAGACAGAACAAAATGGTAAACACAGTACTGCTACTGAGGTTCAGGAAGATGTTTTACTACAGCAGACAGGCTTATTGTAATATCTGTGGAAGACTAATCTGGTGGCGCTCTATGATAGTGTCTGCGTTGGTAAATAAGGGAAGAGCAACTGATGTCATCTATCTTGACTTCTCTAAGGCCTTTGACATGGTCCCGCACAACATCCTTGTTTCTAAATTGGAGAGATATGGGTTTGATGGATGGGATACTTGATGGATAATTGGCTGGATGACTACATTCAAAGAATTGCAGTCAGTGGCTCAATGTCCAAATGCCAATCAGTGACAAGTGGTGTCCTTCAGGGGTCCACACTGGGACCAGTACTGTTCAGTATCTTTATTAAAGACTTAGACAGTGGGACTGAGTGCACCCTCAGCACATTTGTGGATGATACCAAGCTGAGTGGCAGAGTAGAGCTGATGGCATCCCCTCCCTGCTTGAGGGGGGGGGTGCCCTCCCCCCCCCCGTGTTGGGGGGGGGGGGTCCCATCCAGAAAGACTTTGACAGCCTGGAGAAGTGGGCCCATGTCAACCTCATGAAGTTCAACAAGGCCAAGTGTAAGGTCCTATACCTAGGATGGGGCAATCACCAGTATCAGTACAGACTGGGGGAATGAAGAATTGCGAGCAGCCCTGCAGAGAAGGACTTGGCAGATGAAAAACTGGATATGAGCCAGCAATGTGGACTTGCAGCCTAGAAAACCAATTGTATCCTGGGCTGCATGACAAGAAGTGTGGCCAGCAGATCGAGAGAGGCAATTATAGCCCTCTCCTCTGGTGACACCCCACCAGGAGTACTGCATCCAGTTCTGGGGTTGCCAGCACAGGAAAGACATAGACCTGTTGGAGCAGGTCCAGAGGAGGCTACAAAAATGATCAGAGGGATGGAACACCTCTGCTATAAGGAAAGGCTGAGAGAGCTGGGGTTGTTCACCCTGGAGAAGAGAAGGCTCCGGGAAGACCTTCTTGTGGCATTTCAATATTTAAAGAGGGCTTGTAAGAGAGATGGAGAAAGACTTTTTACCAGAGCCTGTAGTGACAGGACAAGGGGAAATAGTTTTAAACTGAAAGAGGATAGATTTAGAATGGATATAAGGAAGACATTTTTTACGATGAGGGTGGTGAGACACTGGAACGGGTTGCTCGGAGAAGTTGTGGAGGCCCCATCTTCTGAAGTGTTCAAGGTCAGGTTGGGCAGGGCTTTAAGCAACATGATCTAGCGGAAGATGTCCTTGCCCATGGCAGGGGGCTTGGACAAGATGATCTTTAAAGGTACCTTCCAAACCAAACCATTCTATGATTCTGTGATTCTGGATAGTTCAAAATGAGCCTTCTTTGCAAGGTAAGCTTCAGATTAGTCCAACAATAGGAGAAAAGAGAGTAAGAAAATTTTGACTCAATTTTTACCTTAGTCACTTCAATATTCAATTTATTTGAAAGAAAAACAGTATACACTACAAATGAGGATAAACTGTACTGTTTCTATTCCTATTAAATTTCTATTAAAGTTAGTTATAGCCTTCCTCAAGTAAAAATCACAAAAATAGTACTTCAGAATTACTAGCTATAGTTTAAGAGGCTTTTCCTACAATCTATGAATTGGCTTAAAGAACGTACACTTAGAAGCCAATTTTTTTTTCTTTCAAATCTACATATCCAACCCCTTCTTCTGTTTTATGGTAATATGCAAGCCAGTGACCTTGCTATTTTATTTTTATTGACAATATTCAGTAGTGTTTTGCATGAATTATTGCAGAAAACACACGGGGTCATCTGTATCACACTGCAATTTTAACTGTGTTCTAACTGACTGACTCCCAGAAGGGGACTAAGCACTACTAGTTCAAATATTCACATGCCAATAGGTGTTTGTATGAATATCTACGTATAAATGATAATTACATGTCTATATATGTAACTTTTTCCTTTCTCTAATACTCTTTGCTTTCTGGAATTTAAATGAACAGGTGTCCACAACTACTAGTAAAAGTAAAGGCATATTTTAAAATATTTTTATCTATGTTTACAGCTCTCTACATTCAATATGTCATAATTGTTTACAGTGTCATTCACCCAGAATTTTATTCTTTTTCTAGAGAAAGTAACTAATGGAGAGCAGACAGTTTTCCAAAGCAGTGAATTTTTTTTCTTCTTCTTTTTTTCCATTACTTATCACATTGTACAAAGTGGGGAAGTTTGGGTTCTGAACCTCAGGCTGGAGGCTAGGAAAGGGTTTTTTTGCTGTAGGAATTAATTGTTGTGGGCGATCAAATAGGGAGGAAATCAATATGGGGATGAGAGCTAGAGACAAGCCAGAATAAGACACTACACATAGACAACTGTTCCTTCGTAGCTCCACCTTTCCTCTGGTTTTGCATGAAAGAGAGAGAAACCTTGGCTTATTTAGTGCCATAACAAAACAGCAAAGCGTGCCTGTGCAACTTAAGGAGGCAACGTTGCTAAAAGAACTCCCTACCCCATAGGATCTTGCAAATGGCTCTGAAGCGTGCACTGAAGAACGTGGTGCAGGTGTGACCCAGGAGCCCCTCTCTGTTGCTGAAGCAAGATATCATCATGCAGCTGATTGCAGGCAACTTTGCCATTATGAAAAATGGTGTTTCCCACAGCATCCTCTGTGGTGGTTGCAATAACAGCACTGAAGCAGGAGCAGGTCTCACTGAGTTTGTAAGAACATGGAGTCAGTGGAGTGATCTTGTCCAAAGAGTGGGTCATATGGTAAGGTTCAAAATTTAAAAGTGGTAATAGGTCTTACCACTGCAAACTGCCTTTGAATATATCTTTAAAAGCACAATATGCCCATAAAATATTAAAAATAATGTAAATATACTACCACTATCTCACATTTCAGGAGAGAAATATTCAGGCAGAAAGTCAGAGGCCTTTTTTTAACAGTAAATACCATGTTATGTAGTTATAGGCAACGTTACAAACTAGAGAAACCACTGGCCTTTCTTTCTGGAAGCTTACACTATAAACACAGCTACACAGAGAGGCCTTATACAACCACAGGCACCATAAACCTCACCAGGCAGCTCTTTTTCTTCTCTAAAACAGCCTCTCTCCAACTTGCTCTCACCCACATTGCATGAGGTACTTTCATTTCTGCTTGCAAAAGCCCTGTGGTAGCAAAACATCAGTTTGCCATGAAGGTGTAAAAGTAGTAAAAGTTGCAAACTGCTTTAAAAAACCCCATACCATTTTTGACATGTTACTGAATGTCTCTCTTCCTGATTTTTTTTTTCTTTTCTTTTCTTCTGAGACCTCAGCATTCTCTATACCATTTTCTGGACTCTGTTGGAGAAAAAACCCACCCTGAATCCTATGTTAAATCAAACAAAGTTTTGTTGCAACCCTATTATTTTAACTCCTATTAGTACTTTCTGCCATTTTGCATGCCAGCTTTCCTTATGGCATTGTTTCAGTTTTCAGTTGGTTGGTTGGGTTTTTTTTGTTTAACTGCTCTGAGATGAGCCTTAACCTTCAACATAGGAATATGGAATCTCCATCCTTAGAGATACTAAAAAAAGTTATTTCTAAATAAATAAACTATATTATTCAAGACTGAATAAGGAACCACCTTTGTGACTGCTCCAGGCAGTCCCTTTTATATCAGAAAGAAAGGAAATTGTAAAGTGCAAGTAAGATCTTGGGTATCATACTTATAAGCTTATGTTTATCAGACCTTATCCAAATTCATATAGCTTTTAGGCAAGCTGACATTTTGTCACTAAGAAAGAAATTAATATTTGAAGAAATGTCCAGATAATAAATATTTAAAATTTATTTTCATTTTCTCATAGAAGGAATATATTTCTACAACCCAACTGTTCAAAAAAGCCAAACCCCCTCATTTCATAATACAATTATCACTGGAAATTTGACCATTTGAACAAGACAGCTGCTCTTTATAAATCTGAACAGTTACAAGCACTGGAATACTCAATGGAATTTTTTAATCATTCACTGTCCCTTTTAAGTTCAGATGATATTTATCTAATGAGTTGGGAAAAAATGATGCAAGAATCTTTCGCAAGTTTATGAAATCTAACTGGATTCATGCAGTCAGGGAGAAAATAGATACATTTCTATTAAAAATCTCTATATTTGCACTTGTTTATGAAACTCAGATTTTTTTTCCAAGAACACCATGAAAACAAAAGAATTATTCTAAGCTTCCCACAGAGTGTCCTATTATTACAGTATTGCTCTAAACTGCTGCAACTTTATTTTGGGAACATTATTGTATTTGAATTGTTCTGACAGAGGAGACCAACCGATACTTCCTGTTTTGCACGAAACAGGTCTTTTCTTTCAAGCACGTTTCAGTTGCGAGTAGTGCTAGGAAATTTCAAAACAGAGGCATTAACTCCAAATACTCCAACACGCAGATGGCTCATGACTGCAGTGACCTACTATACTGAAAAACACAAGGGCCAGGAGCTGTGGCCAACACCTGGGGCTGAGCAAAGGAGCACAGCGTGCGTTCGTACATTATTGCTGCCCCACACACCTGCAATCAGTGCTCCTGAGCAGCCCCAGCCTTCCCTGGGACAGGGCTGTTCAATACCCCCCGCCAAAACCAGGCATGGGGACACAGTGCTTCAAGCAGGGCAGTGCTGTGTCTTATCATTATTCTCTTTACTGGACTAGACATAAGCAGTGATACTAATTTCTTGGTTTAGGTTTAGCACATTTTTATCCTCATAAGACAGTTAAGCATCTGCATAACTTCCATCATTAAAGTACTTTGACAGACTTCAAAGGGACCACTAGTATGCTTAATCTTAAACAAGTGTGTAGGTATCTATTGAATTGTGGTTTCTAGTGGGGTTTTCTGACCTTGTGAGAACAGTCAGTACTGTTCTGAAAGTCCAACTTGTTTGCGTAGGCGTCGCCCACGAATCATACCTGCAGCGTTTGTTCTTCCTCTGAAAATATCGTCATACGCTTTCCATTGTGGGGTCACCTGGTAGGCGTGGATGAACACCACAAAAACCACTACCAAGCACATTAATGGCACCAGAGCAGCGGTGAAGAGAGCAGCGTAGGCATTTGGAATGAAGCACCTGATGGAAAAAATGGAAAAAAATTCTGTTTATGAAAATAAGAGACACCTTATGCTTTACAAACCACAAAATCTTTAACTCTGTTCCCAGAGCAAACTTGATAGGATGCATTGGGTTCTGTTGGTTCTTATCTCCTTATCGTATCTTAAATAATATAAGATTTGCACCTTAAAAGTATGCATGTTATATTTTAGCCTAACCAATGTTGAAGAGATTTAAACTGTTGCAATGGAACAAATTATATTTTAACAAACTCCATGCATGCTATATTCATTTAATGTGATCACTCTTAGTCACCAAAGTCTAAAAGGGCATGATGCAATTTTCTATACTTAGCTACTGAAACCACAAATTAAATTTTGAGAAATATATTTTTAAAATAAATGAACAAGTCTTAAAGGCAAGATAACTATTCCTCCTCAAGCTGTTGGAAATTATATGTCATTTCCACACTGAAGCCTAATGTTCACTCCTTCCTGCTTTTTTTTTTGAATTGTCCTGTCTCTCCTTACCCTTTCCATTTATTAAGTTATAATTATTTATAAAGATGTGACAGGAACACGAGCTATTCCAAAAAGAGTCAAATTACGCATATAAGACGATGACTTGAAGGATATGGAGATGATAGCTAAAGAGAGCCTCAACGGTATGAGAGATCAGGGTTTTCTGTGAACTCCCTTGAGGTCAGTATGTGCTTTACTGCCACTGACCTACTCTAGAGATGACGCACAACGGATTAGCCCAAGGGACGGCTCGGGAGTCAGTATGTCTAGAGAGTATGTGGTCACTGCTGTCCCTATTAAGAGGGTGTAACTTACCCAGCCCTTCTGTTTGTCAGGTCAGCTCTGCTGAATAACCTTAGAGTCCATGCTGATATAATATACATCTGAGAACAGCCTGGGTACATGTTTCACTGTACCTGGTATAGCCTCTGGCTTTGCTTAAGTGGACATGAGTACTCTGTCCAGCAAGTCCTGCAAGACTCTGGGATTGCATTCTGTGCCAGCTCTGCCACAGCATCAGTCAGGCACACTCAGTGCATCCCCAAATCATTTCCAGCAGAATCTAGATACCTTCTACAACTCTCTTCAAAAGGTACAGGCTCAGTCAGACAGCAAGTTGAGATACCACCTGATAACATCACTGAGAAAATAAGCAAGCAAGAGGGAAGGTAGGAACTCTCTATTGCAGTTAAAGGTGTTTGTTTCACAGAACCACAGAGTGGTTGAGGTAGAAAAGGACCACTGGGTGTCATCTTGTCCAATCCCCCTGCTCAAGCATGGACACATAGAGCTGGTTGCCCAGGACTGTGTCTAGATGGTTTTTTAATATCTCCAAGGATGGAGACTCTCTGGGCAACCTGTGCCAGTGCTTGGTCACCCAGACAGTGAAAAAGTGTTTCCTGATGTTCCGATGGGGGTTCCTGTGTTTCAGTTTGTGCCCATGGCCTCTGGCCCTGTCACTGGGCACCTCTGAAAAGAGACTGTCTTCATCCTCTTTGCAGCCTCCCTACAGTTATTTATATACATTAAAAAGATCCCTTTGAGCCTTCTGTTCTCCAGGTTGAACAGTCCCAACTCTCTCAGCTTTTCCTCATAGAAGAGATGCTCCAGTCCCTTACGCATTTTGGTGGCCCTTCATTGGACTTTGTCCAGTCTGTCCATGTCTCTTTTGTACTGAGAAGCCCAGAACTGGACCCAGAGCTCCAGGTGTGGCCTCATGAGTGCTGAGCAGATGGGAAGGATCATCTCCCTCAACTTGCTGTCAAGACGGTTGGCTCCTGGATACAACATGTCATCCATTTCATCCTTCTTATTTTTAATACTGCTTAGGTATGAAAGTTATTTTTGTTCCCCAAATGTATTCTTGAGTGGGCCCAATTAGCATTAAGACCTGAAGGCACATTACCATAACTTATGCTGTTTTTAATGATTATACTGAAGCCAAGAATCTTAGCAGAAGTATAGTCTTCTATAAAATCATTTTATATTCTGAAACCTGTAATTTTTTTCAATTTGATACATTTTTGTATTTCAGAGATCACTTATGCTCTTAAAAAATTATCTGAACGTCTTGAAAGTTTTCTGTGAACACTCCTTTACATTCAGTTAACAAAAGCTGCATGAAACCAAAAACCCACAGAGATGGGTCAGTTTTACTAATACCCCTAGGTACTTGCTCTAAAAAAGACACCGAAAAGTTATGTAGACAAGAAATACACAAAGCTGTATTAATTTACAAATCTTATTTTGGATTTTTGTCTTGAAAGCAATCGTGAGCAATACAAGAACGACCACCACTTCCTGTAAATTCTATTCACATATAGCAGTGTGATGATATATGTTGAAAGATACCTTTTATGCTGGAAATCATATGGGATATCATTATAGGGACCAACTGAAAATATTTATTATACTTGACACTGGGGGCACACATTTATTATTCCATTACCATGACACATTTGCCACATGGACCTACCATGTGTCTCGTATCCCTAGCATTGGATAGGAATAGAAGAAAAATGTCCCAAAACGACAACTAAGTTGGTGTTCCAGAACACATCTATTCTATAGAAAAAGGCCTAGAAAGACTGATATGGAGACTGGAATGAACTACATAATTACAAACCTTACTTGTTTAAAGAAGAGCATTATCTCCTGCAGTATAGCCCTTAAGCAAGTTGCTTTTTTTTTTTTTAAACAGGCACTAGACTTTGTAAAGTAAGTCTTTAATCCATGAAAGACAGAACCATTCTTCATAATGAAGTTATTCTTGTATTTCTTTCTTGGGTAAGTAACTATAAGGTTTTTGTTTGTTTTGAATCTGAGTAATAGCAAGAAAAAATACAGCTACCAGTTGAAATACATGCCTTGTGAAATGGGGATGAGAAAAATCAAACACTGTTAACTTCTTCAGAGACTGTCATTTTGTTACAAAGCTTCTGTGACCTCCTGTGAACACTTTCTAGTGTTTCTTGCAGTACCAAATTGTACATTTTTTCCTGACTGTTTTGAGAAGTTTTGCTACCAGCTTACCTAGCATCGAAAAGACAACTGTTTAGCTTTCATCCCAAGCTGCCTCCGCTCTTGCCCTTCTTGACTATCATCTGAATGAAGATTCCATCTTTGCTTCTGTTTTGACCATCTTGTTCTGACCATTGACTTTGTTTTGATCCCTGATTTTGTTTTGATTACTATAAATTTCTCTGGTAACCTTGATAGTAACATATTCCCATTGGTTGATTCTCTTCCACTGCTCTTAGCTAAACCAATTTCTTTTCATTATCTTCAAGAATCCCTCTGGTAACCTCTCAATCTCCTACCCCACTCCTGGTGTCACTTTTTCCATAAACAGCAGTTTACTTCCATATCAAACACTTCTAATTTACAAAATTTTTTTCCAACTTATGAGAACATTAAACACATTATCTAAAGCCCTGTGTAGGTCTGTATCTGTTATAATTCTATGAAAGAAGCTAGAAATAATTTTAGAAATAATTGTTTTTAGTATGTATCTTCTCTAAGGTATAATTCCATAGTAGTATGCAATGATTTGTTAATCATTTTAAAAGTGAAAAAAAATCAAACAAACCAGGAACTATATTAGTTTTTTTTCCTTCAATATGAAGCAATAAGACACTTGCTTTACATATTTTTTGCCAGGAATAGAATGATGAGAAACAGCTTTAATATACAAGATTTTTTTTCTCTCTTGAGAACTACTGCAGATGTTCATTCAATCTAAATTGATACTTTTAAATACAACAAACACGGAGAGATTAGGACATACAAATTAATAGACAACATCATCTCTTCTTTGGAAAAGATGTAACCTCAGAAAATCATATACATTTAAATCAATTAATTTATTAAAATGACCTCACTTATTGGCCTGCCAGAATCAGGGCTTTACCTTGGTTTTGCTTTTTTTTCCCCTTCTAATCTATAAAATGGGATTGCTAGGCTTGCTTTCTTCTCAAGGGGGCGAAGCATGTTTATCTGACCCTTTAAGTGTGTTTGTAAAGTCTTCTGTGATATCTTAAACCATAACATTTCCTGAAATCTGGAGAAGGATTCCAGCTACATAAGATGCAGAAGGCCCTCTTTTATTTTTCCTAATATTTTTAAAGGAAAAAGAGAAGACAACTGACATGATGTATACTGGAACTATTTGTTAACACAATTATATAATTAATATTAAAAAAAGAAAAAAAAAACAAAACAAACAACCAAGCAACATTGCTAAGAAAATAAGGACTATTTAAAAAATTCAGGGAGTTATTCAATGAAAGGACTGACATATTTTGTTCCCTTCTAAACAAGAAAGATTTAAAATTGCTCAATGTGTTATAGATAGTTTCATTCCTTTATTGCCATGTCTTGAATTCTAAGGGCAATCTCCTTCAAATGTGTCTTGAAACTATGGAAAGTTAAGTTTGACAAAAAATTGCAAGTCTTTCAGTCTAACAAAAAATATCTGGTGTTCTCTTTTAGTTTTGTCAGCAGGCAGTTAACCTTTTGATGTTTATTTGTCACATGAGTTTCTCTCCAGAGCTAGACGTAGATTATTATTATTATTACTGTTGTTGTTGGTATTTTTTTATTTATTATTTATTTTAATTTTTATTATTATTATTTAATTCTGGGGACAAAGCTCGACAACTCTTGTGCTTCTTCCTTGCTTTTGGCACAGTGAGTTGGCGGGCAGCCTGGCACAGAGAACAGAGAGTTGTGGCACCATCTGAGTTTGCTCATATTGCGCATGTTACATCAGGAAAGTAAAAGGCAAAGGTCAGACACATGAATTTGCACTTATATTTGTATTTCATCACATCCATTTAGAGAATGAAATCTGTGTACCTAAAAAAACCCAATAATGAAAGCCAAAGCTTGAATCATTTATTCATGCTTACTCAGCAAATTCTTCACAAAGTAGATGACACAATGTTAAAAAATGGAAATATGCAAGTTAGTTTATGATCTACATATACACTACTAGAT